CAAAAAAAAAAAAAAAAGTCCAACTACTGAAAAGATCTCATTTAGGTACTAGAATCAAAGTTTGAATACATCTCTAAAAATGAAAAAAAAAAAAACACAATATACTTTCACAATAATTATTTACAAACAATCACTTCTTCATATGACAGAGAAATAAACCAGACTGTCTTTAATCTGACCTCTTGTTTTATCAGGGCTGTTGGACCACACCATCCTCCCATGCATGGTTCCCACTCAGAGTCACGACATGCCTCCAGGGAACAGCTGACAGAGCCCAGGGTCTTCAGCCTGCAAAGAAAGCTAACCCACACAGCTTTGGCAGGCAGGTAGTTTATTTGACACCTGAAACCAGGAACCACCAGACTACTCAGTAACTCCTCCCACTTTTGGCGGGAGAAGAAACTTGGAAATATGAGGAGAGGAGAAAAGGGAAGAGAATGAAAAAAGAAGAGTGGAGAGAAAGAGAGGGAGGCAGAGGAAAAGAAAGAGTGGGGAGGTGGGAAAGAGAGAGAGGAGAGGAAGAAGAGATAGAGGATATACCGACCAACAGAATCACAGGGCGCGGAACACTTGATATTTCCTGAGCACTGAAGAAAGTCCTCGAAGCACGAGTTTATGATCTAGGCACGAATATTCAGCACCGGGAGAGTCTGCCTTAGCTGTAAGTTACGAACGCACCGACTGAAAAGCGGTCTGTTTCCAGCAGTCTCTGCTGGCACATTAGGCTGTCAATGTATAACTGCCCCCAGGGGGGCAACCACATTCCAAATGGAAAAAACAAAAGTTTAAAACCTTTTAAAGGCAGTATTGGAAAACTGGGAAGGATTTTCTTCTTTGAATTATTTTATTTTATTATTAATTGCCAGAGGGTGCATGTGCTTGCCAGAGAGAGAAAGAGAGAGCGAGCACACATGAATCCCGTATCGCAACATGGTCATGCTGCGCTCATTTTTCCCTTGTTCAAATCCTAGCCTGGGAGACTTGAAAAACACACCAGGCTCACATGCATGTGTGTCTAAAATCTTGAGAGGAAGGAGAAATGGAGAAGGGATTTGTGGCAGGACTTTGTCCCATTGGAAGTGCTTTCTCCTTCTCCCTTTCTGTCTCTCTCAAGAGTGCACATGCCCTCTGGCAATTAAACAAAATATTTACGAAAGGCCTTAAAGGTTGGTTATATTCATTTCACCCAAGATGGATGCAACCATCCATCTCTACTCTATTAGGATTTGGGGCACATGTGCACCACATGTCAAGCGTGTTTTTCCGACCGCCAGGATGGGATTCAAACAGTACCTGGCCATGTGGGATCTAGCTCCCTATGTACAGCACTTAACCACTGTGTTAAGGGGCCAGGCTGGGAAGGATTTTCTTTTCTTTTTAAATAATGATTTAATTTTGTTTATTATTACTATTTAATTTGCTATAGAGCACATGCACTCACCAAAGAGAAAGTGAGAAAACAAGCTGCCAGGCCTGGGATTCAAACCATGGTCGCTATGTGGGAGTGTAGCATTTTAACCACCGTGCTACTTGCCGGCTCCAAGGAAGAATTTTCTTAAACATACACAAAAAGGCACAAATCAGGGACAAACAATATTATTGAAATTGGCTCCACTGCAGTAGTGAAGCACAGGATCCAACAATAACTACTTGGGTTCAAATCTAGCTTTGGTATTAGCAATATAACTTCTGTCCCCATTTTGTCAACTATAAAATGGGGGGGTCATATGGGACCAGTAGTTGGCAAAATAGCTATGTCACTGGACTCCCATGTAGTCGACCGCGATTTTAGTCCTGGACTTGGTGGCTTAAACTCACGCCAGGCGCGTGTGCATGCGTGCCCAAGATCCGAGAGGAGAATGGAGGAGAAGGGACTGCAAAGTGGCCATCCCCCCTGGGGGGTGATTTCTTGCTTTCTGTCTCTCTGCCTTTTTGGCAAGTGCATGTGCCCTATAGCAAAAACTTCTCCAAAAAAAAAAAAAAAGGAAGGGGGTCATATTGGAGTCAGCAGGTGGTGTGGTGG